CCTGGGGGTGCTGAGCCTGGGAGTGCTACGCCTGGGGGTGCTACGCCTGGAGGTGCTGAGCCTGGGGGTGCGGAGCCTGAGGGAGCTGGGCCTGCTCGTGTGGCGTCTGGCGGTGCTGAGCCTGGAGGTTCTCCGGGTGCTTCGTCTCGGCGGGAGCCACTCTCTCCACAGGAGCTGCGCGAGTGGTTTGCCCGGCGCTGGAGGCGTGCTGCTGGAGCTGGAGGTTCTTCGGCTGCTGAGGGTGCTGGTGCCGCGGGTCCCGGAGGTGCTCGTACTGGGAGTACTGGAGCTGCTGGGCCTGCGGGTACGACTGGAGCTGGAGCTGCTGAGGGTGTTGGCGCTGAGGCTACTGCTGTCGGTCCTGGAGGCGGTCCTGCTGGGGGTGCTACTGGTGCTGCTGGAGGTACTGGAGCTGGAGGTGCTGCTGGCGCTGGTGCTTCCGCTGGGGGTACTGGTGCTGTCCCTGCTGTGTCTGGAGTCGCCGCGCGGCCTCGGCCGTACTTCGTTCCGCTCCTTCAGCAGGTTCTTGGTCTCCCGCCTTCTACTGGTCCTCCTCCTCCCTTAGCGTGTCCACAGCCTGTCCCGTCACAGTTACAGTTACAGCCGGCCTCCCCACTGCCCGCTCCTTCTCCCTACACTGGTCCTACTGGAGGTCTTGCTGAGCGTCGTGAGCCTGCGTCTCGCCCTGCGTCGCCTGTCCGTGCTGCTCGCACTAGTGCTCGTGGTTCGCGTCAGCGTCCTCCTCCTGTCCCTGGCACGCACCGGATGTCTCTGCGTCCGTCCACTGCTCCTCTGCGTGCCCCTTTGCCTTCTCCTCCTGAGTCCTCTCTTCCTGCTCTTCCTGACCCGGAGTCGGACTCTCTTCGTGCTGCCAGTCCTACTGTCACGCGTCTCCTTGCTACTGTTGTCACTGACCCTTCCTTTTAGTCCACTGCTGCGTCTGCCCTAGTTACTGAGCTCGTCGACTTTGCTGCTCGCTGTCGTCTAGACTACGCTGCTAGTCTTGTTGCTGAGTCTGAGTCTGTCTGTCCTCCGTCCGTCGGGGGTGAGTGTGCCCTTGGCACGGACGTCCTTGAGGACAGGCAGGAGGAGTTCCAGTGTTTGGCTGCTGCTTCACCTCATCTCGTGTCCGTACTGCTTACCCCTGAGGGAGACCCGGATGCACTTGACATCCCGACTCCGCGCTCTTACGCGGAGGCGATAGAGGGTCCCTACTCCTCTCAGTGGCAGGCAGCTATGGACGCAGAGATGGCTTCCTGGAAGTCCACAGGCACCTACGTTGACGAGGTTCCCCCGCCTGGGGCGAACATCGTCAGTGGCATGTGGATTTTCAGGGTGAAGCGGCCGCCGGGTTCTCCGCCTGTCTTCAAGGCGCGTTACGTGGCTCGTGGCTTCAGTCAGCGGCAGGGAGTTGACTAATTTCAGACCTTCTCTCCCACCCCGAAGATGACCACTCTTCGGGTACTGCTGCACATAGCTGCTCACCGCGACTACGAGCTGCACTCTCTTGACTTCAGCACTGCTTTCTTGCAGGGCAGCCTGCACGAGGAGATCTGGCTGCGTCGCCCACCTGGCTTCACTGGGTCTTTTCCTCCTGGCACCTAGTGGAGCCTCCGGCGGCCAGTCTACGGTCTCCGCCAGGCACCGCGTGAGTGGCACGACACACTGAGGACTACACTTGCGGCTCTTGGGTTTTCTCCCTCTACTGCCGACCCGTCGCTGTTTCTGCGCACCGACACTTCTTTGCAGCCGTTCTACATCCTCGTGTACGTCGACGACTTGGTCTTTGCCACAGCTGACACTGCTGGACTCGCCCACGTGAAGTCCGAGCTGCAGAAGAGACACACGTGCACAGACCTGGGTGAACTGCGCAGCTACCTTGGCTTGCAGATCACCCGGGACAGAGCACGCCGCACCATTACCCTGACTCAGTCACACATGGTGCAGCAGGTCCTTCAGCGCTTCGGCTTCACGTACTCCTTGCCTCAGGCCACTCCTCTGCCTACTCGCCACTCGCTCTCAGCTCTGCCTTCGGATGAGTCCGTAGAGTCGAGTGGCCCGTACCCAGAGCTTGTTGGCTGCCTCATGTACCTGATGACCTGCACACGACCTGACCTTGCATACTCTCTTAGCATTCTTGCACGCTATGTTGCTCCTGGGAGACACAGACCGGAGCACATGGCTGCAGCGAAGAGGGTGTTGCGCTACTTGTGCAGTACGTCGGGCATGGGGCTTGTGCTTGGAGGGCAGAGTCCAGTGGTCCTCACTGGACACGCAGACGCTTCTTGGGCTGACGACCAGGCTACGCAGCGGTCGTCACAGGGTTACACCTTCAGCCTTGGTTCCGGCTCTGTTTCGTGGCGGGCTACTCGCTCGTCTTCTGTTCTCGGCTCCAGTTGTGAGGCTGAGATCTACGCCGGGGCCATGGCTGCACAGGAGCTTCGCTGGCTCACCTACCTGCTGACTGACCTCGGAGAGTCGCCTCGTTCTCCTCCAGTGCTCTACGTAGACAACAAGGCCATGCTGGCCTTGTGTCGAGAGCAGAGACTGGAGCACAGAACGAAGCACATTGCTCTTCGCTACTTCCTTGCTCGTGAGCTACAGCAGCGTGGTCAGCTGCGACTTGCGTACGTGGCTTCTGAGGCCAACACTGCTGATATCTTCACCAAGGCACTTGCGCCTTGTGATCATCAGCGCTTCTGTACTCAGCTGGGTCTTGTACCTACCTTGCCTCACTTGCTCACCTCTTGACCTTGTTTGTACTGTTGCATATATATATACTCCTGCTCTTGCTTGTCTAGCCTTATATATATATGTAATCCTGCATGTGAACTGGCCTTGTGGCCTTGAACTTGTGCTCGGAATGTGTGGTGACTTTGTGATCCACCCTGAGCTTGCTTTGCTTTGCTTGACTGGTCTTGTGACCCCTTGTTCTCCCCCACTTTGCCTATGGGGGTGTGTCAGAGTTATATGACATAGCTACTGTAGGCTATAGTGGGGTAGCACATATGGGGTACAGTTGCCTAGGGTTTGCCTTTTGTACCCAACTTTCACTTAGTCATTTCATTCCTGTTTTCTTGATTCACAGGGCGCAGGGCGCAGGGCGTAGGGAGGCGACGGGCGACGGGCGCAGGGCGTAGGGCGCGGGGAGGCGCGGGCGTAGGGACGACGCGGCGGGCGCGTAGGGCGGGGGTAGGGACGCGGCGGCGGGCAGGCACGACGCGACGGGCGTTTAGGGCAGCGGGGGGAGGGCGCGTCGCGACGAGTAGCGGGGGAGGGGACGACGGGACGACGGGCGGGGAGAGAGCGACGCGACGGGGGCCGGGGAAGGCGCGATCGACGGGCAGCGGGGGGGAAAACGCGACTCGACGGGCAGCGCGGGGAAAAACGCGACTCGACGGGCGGGAAACGCGACGGGCAGCAGGGGGGAGGGGGGGGGGGAAGGTCGCTACGCTACGAGAGCAGTGGATCGGCGGAACGAGTGGTAACGAACGAACGCGACTAGAGCGGGCCGGCGCTAGGCTCGGGCAAGACGTGCGCAACTAGTACGACAGAGTGAGACAGGCTCGGGCGAAACGAACGAGGTCGGGAGGAGCGGGATCCCACAGGATCCGAACCTAGGTGATACCATGTCAAGAAAGGAAGTGATCATGTCATTGATGTGGTATTTGTACTGCTCCCGCTAGTTCAACTAATTTCGCTGTTACTACTTACGCAAGGCTTTCGGGGTGCGCTTATTCTTGAGGACCGGATATAAGCACAGTACTCTAGATAGAAGTGCATGCGCACTATGTGAAGACGAAATTCACACTGAGATTGATATTATTTTATCCTTCAACGAACTAACATCATTTTGAATATGTATTTTTGAAGACACGATGTCTAAAATCCAGGAGATAAAAAATTTATACAAAATCTAAAGCTAGAGGTCTCTCCCTTTACCTTACAACTTTTGCGCCATGCCTCATACTATAATTAATTAAAATATTTAAGTAGTTTAGTTTCATGTTCCACTTGAATTTTCAGCTTCTTCTTTTTTGGGCTTCAAGGTGACGGTGGAACCTTTTCTCGAAGCGAAGCTTTTGGCGGATATTCCTCTTCCCCACGTCATCCCACGTCACCGCACACAACCCTCCCTCTCTGCTCACATCAGCAGTACACTCTGTAACGCGTACGATCTGAGTCATAGTCGGTAGGCAGGGTGTGGGCGTTGACTCGAGAGGGATCAGAGGCGCGAAAGGAGGGTGTGTGGCGCGGAATGCGAGTGTGAAACGCACAGATAGTGTGCGGCGTGCGATAATATTTGGTTTCGAAATACAAGTTTTTTAGGATCTGCTGCGTAAAACTCGCGGCAAAAATCGAATCCCCACCCGTTCGTCCAAGCGTGACCCTCCCCTCGCCGTCGCTTTCCTTTCCCCAAATTTCTCGCTTTTCCAGCCCGTCGCCTTCGCTTTCCCCGCCCCCGTCGCCCGTCGCCTACGCTTTCCCCGCCCCCGTCGCCCGTCGCCTTCGCTTCCCCCGCCCGTCGCCTTCGCTCTCCGCCCGTCGCCTTCGAGCCTCAGAGGCTGCTCGGCGCGCTTTGTATAATACGCAATCCCGTACGGCCAATCGGATCTCGCCATGTGGCAGCGCCGCTCCGCCGCTATCATCAGCACACGTGTCTGCTCGCTGTCTCGTCTCTCCCTCCCGCGTCCTCCCAGCCTGCCACGTCAAACAATGCCACGTCATTGCCATCCGTGCCACTCGACGCAAATCCTCTTCTTGGCACGCAATCAGGCCACTACCACGCTGCCACGTGTACAGACGCATCTACAAGCGCCACCTCAGCATGTGGCCCCACTGCGATCAATGCCTCCCACAGCAAGTCAAGCTGGTCAACACCGGTCAACGTGAGCCAAGTCAGCAGCAGTCCGTCCGCACTGTCACTAGCACGTGGGTTCAACACGCTTGTGCCACGTCATCATGCGATACAGCAGATCGGCACCATCAGCAGACCGCACATGCGATCAACCAATAGCATCGCGCTCAATATATCTCCCACGATTTCCGCTGCACTCCAGTCATCCCCTTCCTCCTCACTCTCATCCCCAACCAATGTTATCCGCACGCTCCAAACCTCCTCAGCCACGTCACCTGCAACGAGCCCAGCCCCCACCCCACCAGCAGCATCCACCACCCCTACCTCATCCCCGTCCGCCACGTCAGCACTCGGCACGCCAGAACCCGCCACATCACCATCTGAGCACGCGCTAGTGGCGGGGGGAGCGGCGGCAGAGAGGGCGGTGGGGGGGTGGCTGATGGGGTGTGCGGCGTGGGTGTGGGCGCTGGTGGTGCTGGGGGGCGTGACTCGCCTCACCCGCTCAGGCCTCTCAATGACTGACTGGAAGTTCGGAGGAGAGCAGGCGCCCAGGAGCGAGGAGGAGTGGGCGGGGGAGTTTGACAAGTATCAGCAGTCACCTGGTTCAAGAGGTTAGTGTGCTGCCGCTGCCGCTGCCGCTGCCGCTGCCGCTGCCGCTGCCGCTGCCGCTGCTGCTGCCGTGGTGGCTGTGGGAGATCTCGCTAGTTTCCTCACTGTCTCATGCCACATGCCCTCATGTCCATACGCTCTCATGCCACTCGCCCGCACTCCACATGCTACTCATACTACGATTGACTTCTTTCTCATTCCCGCAGGGTGAACAGCAGCATGACAGTGGACGAGTTCAAGTTCATCGACTGGATGGAGTATGCTCACCGCAGATGGACGGAACACTGTCCCATCACTCCCCTCAGACCCCTCAGGTGCCTCAGGAAGCTCAATTTCCACCTCCCCTTCTGCCCATGCTATTCTCGTTCCCCCTTGCAGGGTGAACAGCAGCATGACGGTAGATGAGTTCAAGTTCATCTATTGGATGGAGTAAGGCCACCGCATGTGGGGGAGGGCGCTCGGCCTGCTCTTTGTAACCCTCTCACCCACTCAACCCCTCGTCACTCCTGCTTTTCTCGTTCCCCCTTCACAGGGTCAACAGCAGCATGACAGTTGATGAATTCAAGTTCATCTACTGGATGGAGTATGCTCACCGCATGTGGAGGAGGGCGCTCCGCCGCCTGCTCTTCTCAACCCACTCAACAACCTCAAATCCCCTCCGTTACTTACTCCTTCTGTTCTTCATGTTTCAACAGAGTCAATAGCAGCATGACTGTCGATGAGTTCAAGTTCTACTGGATGGAGTACGCTCACCGCATGTGGGGGAGGGCGCTCGGCCTCCTCTTCCTCCTCCCCGCCGCTTACTTTGCCGCCCGCTGCTACATCAAGACGAAGCTCGCCGCCCGCTGCACCGTGCTGTTTGGCCTGCGCGGGGCGCAGGGGCTGATGGGCTGGTGGATGGTGAAATCAATCCTCGTTGAACACTGGCAACGGAGCAGGTGGGACAGGACAGAACTAAGCAACACGGAAGGGAGCAAGGGACACACGCAGTCTCTTGTTAGAGCTTGTTGCAGAGCACATATCTCACCAGGCTGGTGCGATTATCTGAGCCAGTCCTGATGTCTATGCCGCTGTTCCTCCCTCAGAAGCCAAGAAGAGAGAAGATCTAGAGGATGCCAAGGCACTACAATCTCGTTAAAATTGCTTGGATATTGCGTTTATTGATAAACAGTGGAAGGAAACAGCATTACAGACCTACTATAGTAATACCATTCTAACTGATCTGTGTGGTGTGGACCCGAAGAAATAAAGAGAATGGATATGGTATGGTTGTGGCTGTGCTGAGCATGAATGGATATGGTAGGCTCTACAAATGATGCGCCAATGCTGATACGGTAGTGGCTGCAATTCACTGCTGCTCATGATGCTGCCTGATAGCCAGCATCCCTCATCTCACAAGCCACTGCCAAGGAGCTCCCATGACCTACTGCCTTGCAGCAAGCAGTCCAACAAGCAGGGTCATGTGGATGGAGTTGATGGGTCAGCAGATCGGCACATGCTTGTCAGCTCGTTGCCATTCACATCTTGCACAATGACCCACCAAACTGATCCTCCGTCACACCTGAAGTCACGGGAAAAGGGAAAAGGGAACAGCAAACAGGCTTGGAATGGTGCGTGTGATAGGGACTGCTGTGAAGGATGCAGCACGGGGAAAAGCACGTAGAGCAACACAAACGCATAGATCCACGCAGTGTGATATTTTCCTCCAACACGAATGCTACTCCATCCAATCCCCGTGACCGCCCCCCACCCATCCCGTGCGAGACACTGACCGTGGCCCATGGCGGCGGTGGACGAGACGCCGCCCGTGACAGTCTTCATGAGGCTGTCATAGTAGCTCGCGCCGGACCACTTCTGGTGCGCCAGCGTCTCCACGCCGAACGTGCGCTCCTGCCGCTGGATGTCCTGCACGTACGCCAGCATGCCGCGCGCCGCGTAGTCGCGCGCAAACGTGTCGGTGACGAGCGCGTTGGCGTGGAAGCCGGCGAGCGTGATGAACTGCCAGCAGAAGCCCATGCGCGCGAGCGCGGGGATGAACTCCTGCATCTGCGCGTCGCTCATGCCGGACGCGTCCCAGTTGAACGACGGCGACAGGTTGTACGCCAACATCAGCTGCGGGTGCGCCGCCTTCACGCCCTCCGCGAACTCGCGTGCCTGGCTGATGGTCGGCTTCGCCGTCTCCATCCACACCAGATCCGCGTGCGGCGCGAACGCGATGCCACGCGCCACGCACGCCTTGGTGCTGCCCTGGAAGCGGTAGAAGCCCTCGCGCGTGCGCGGCAGGTCCCAGTCCCAAAACAGATCCGTCACGCCCAGCTTCGCCGCCAGCGCGCGCCCCTCTGCGTTCGACAGCGCGCCCGCCTGCGCCGCCCACTGGTCCAGTCGGCGCGCCTTCTCGGCGTCCGCCAGCGGCAGCTTGCGGATGGCGTCGGCGACGGCGTCGGCGAAGAGGCGGAGCCCCGCCGCCGCCGTCCACTGGTCCTCGATGGCCTGCAGCTGCTGCCCCGTCTTGCCCGCCGCCTGCGCGTCCGCCATCACCTGCACCAGCGGCTGGTCGCGAAGGCGCGGGTTGGTGGCGCCGAGAATGAAGGCGTGGTCGCGCTTGTCCACGTTAGTCATTATGAGCGTCGCCGCCTCCGCGTCCGTGCGCGCCACCAGCACCGTCTCCGAGCCCATGATGTCCATCTGCAGGCGCGCCGCCACGAGGCGGTTGACGTGCTCCTGCGTGGACACGAGCACCTTGCCCGCCATGTGCCCGCACTTCTTCGTCACCGACGCCTGGTCCTCCATGTGGATGCCCGCCGCGCCGCGCTCCACAAACATCTTCACCAGCTTCACCGTCGCGCTGATGCCGCCGAACCCCGTGTCGGCGTCCGCGATGATGGGCGCCAGGTAGTCCACGTACGGCGTGCGCGCGCGCTCCTCCTTGCTCATGCTGAAGCGCGCCTCGCGCTGCTTGCGATCGTGGAACGACTGCGCGAGGAAGAGGTGCTCCACCTTGTTGGGCACCGTGTCGTACGGGTAGTCCGCCAGGTCCGGCCCGGGCTCGTTCGACGTCGCCGCTGTCGACGCGCACTGCCAGCCCGACACGTAGATGGAGTCGAGGTACTTGGCCATCTGCACCACCTGCACCGGATCCAGCGACCCGAACGTGCGGGAACAAGTGCCGTTTGCCTGGTGCCGCTTCAGAAGCGCATACAGCTGAAGGGGGATGCCACAGGGAGAAGGGTGAGCAGACATGCTCGGTGATTGAGTGATCCAGCAAATTCCGGCGGCGACGTAATAAGAATGGAGCAGGAAGATGGGACCAAGGATTAGTAAAAGCGTAATTTGCAGTACAATGACTTTCCGCGACGAGTTTTCGCGTACCTTCTTTGCCTGCGCGCCCGAGGGGTACATCTTGGGGAGGCTGTCCCGAAGGCGAACGACGTCCCTGGCGGTGTAGGGCCGGCGGGTGAGAGAAAAGCGCCCAGATGCCCACCACGCCTCGACCTCCGCGACTTCCGCATCGAATCGGCGCTGTTCCTCTTCCACGAACTGCGCGGGGAATTCAGGATAAGCAGACTTAGAGAACGAGCCGCATTCTACACAAAGGCGAGAATGCGCTGGTTACGAATTCGGCCAATAACGGGCTTCGGTTCGTACCTGATGAATGGCTGCAGGTGATGCGTCCTTGAGCGCACCGAAAGAGAAAGTTCCTGCGATTGGAGCCCAAGAAAAACGTCAGAATTACTGACAGAAGCCGCTGGTTTTAAGAAGCTACCGCTGAAAGGCTTTGGTTTTGTCATACCCGCCATAGTTCTGGTGCGTTGAAAAGCTCGACAATACTCCCAAGGTCAAGCAACAGTTGCCAGAGTCACCACCAGGCTGATAGTGATGGAGCAACGAAATGTGGATCGCGCTGGCTGACGATAGTTATGGTGGTTCCTCGGAGAACTCGACGATGTTCAATGTACCTTGGGAGTTGGTGTTGATTTGTGTGAACTGCGAGGTTTGTCGACTCAAGGCGCTGGCTTTACGCGTTCAGCGCGAGAGGCGCATGGGTGAGCACTCCAATCTCATCCCAAGGGAGGCAGCGGAGCGCGTTCTGGTTTTGCTGTGATGTTGTGCAACCCTGGTGGTCCCAGCTAGTAACTCTCTACCACGTCAGCACTCCATCACAATCGATGTGGATTTGGTGTCATGGGCCCGTGCGTCAGCCACTACCACTGAAATTCAACAGAGTTTCACGAACCAACCCCCGAAACGCTTTGGAAACTGGAAACATGGTTACCAAATACAAGTCCTACCGCTCTTCCCAAACCTGCTCACCAGTGGTCCCCGCACAATTTCAAAATCAAAATTTCGAAGCCGCAAACTCGGGGCTTTAAGTTTAGCATTTGATGCGAAGCTTCGTTGGGATATTCCAGCGCACCACGTATTTGTCGGTGAGCCGTGTGCGGTTTTGCTAAATTTATCTTCTTCAAAGCCGCTTGCCGCGACGAGCGGCTTTGAGCGCCTTTGAGCGACACGCCATTCCTCCTGTGAGCGCCTTCCGCCTGAGCGCCTTCCGCCTGAGCGCCTTCCGCCTGAGCGCCTTCCGCCTGAGCACCTTCCGCCTGAGCGCCTTCCGCCTATGAGCGCCTTCCACCTGAGCGCCTTCCGCCTGTGAGCGCTTCGGGCACTGCAGATCCGGCCCGTCGTGCTTCCCTCGTCCGCCCGGCCTTTCCGCCTACACCTTTCCGCCTGTTCCTGTCCGCCCTCACCGTTCCGCCTGTCCCTTACTGCCTACACCCGTCGTGTGTGCTGCGTAGGCCTTTCGCATTCACATCTGAATTTACGTTTGACCTTTGAAAGTTCCATTCCGCCAATAGGATCGCGCCATGTGGCAGCGCCGCTCCGCCACTATCATCAGCACACGTGTCTGCTCGCTATCTCGTCTCTCCGTCCCGCGGCCACCTCCTTCCCACCCTGCCACGTCACACAATGCCACGTCATTCCCATCCGTGCCTTTGGACGCGAATCCGCTTCTTGCCACTCAATCAAGCCACTACCACGCTGCCACGTGTACAGACGCATCGACAAGCGCCAGCTCAGCATGCGGCCCCGCTGCGTTCAGTGCCGCCCACAGCAAGTCAAGCGGGTCAACGCCGGTCAATGTGAGCCAAGTCAGCAGCAGTCCTTCCGCACTCTCACTGACACGTGGATTCAACACGCTTGTACCACGTCATCATGCGATACAGCAAATCTCCACCATCAGCAGACCGCACATGCGATCAACCAATAGCATGCTGACCAAAATATCTCCCGCGACTTCTGCAGCACTCCAGTCATCCCCCTCCCTCTCTTCCCCAGCCAGTGTAATCCGCACGCTCCAAACCTCCTCCGCCACGTCAGCACCCTCAGCCACGTCCCCCGCAGCGAGCCCAGCCGCCACCCCAGCAGCAGCATCCAGCACCCCTACCTCATCCCCTTCCGCCACGTCAGCACCCGCCACGTCAGGCGAGCACGCGCTAGTGGCGGGGGGAGTGGCAGCGGAGAGGGTGGTGGGGGGGTGGCTGATGGGGTGTGCGGCGTGGGTGTGGGCGCTGGTGGTGCTGGGGGGCGTGACGCGCCTCACGCGCTCAGGGCTCTCAATGACTGACTGGAAGTTCGGAGGAGAGCAGGCGCCCAGAAACGAAGAGGAGTGGGCGGGCGAGTTTGACAAATACCGCCAGTCTCCAGAGTTTAAACGGTAAGGGCGTGGGTGTGGGCGCTGGTGCTGCTGGTGCTGTTGGTGCTGGTGCTGGTGGTGATGGTGGTGGTGGTGCTGGTGGTGCTGGGGGGAGTGACGCGCCTCACGCGCTCAGGCCTCTCCATGACTGACACGGACCGCAAATCGCCTGAATCTAAACGGCCATTGTGGTACTGTTGGCGGCGCTGCTGCTGCTGCTGCTGCTGCTGCTGCTGCTGCTGCTGCAGTGGCTGCGTGCGCGTGGGTGCAGTGAACAGCAGCAAAAGAAAGCATGGCTATTTGTCGCCAGGATCGGATTCGGGATGTTTTGTTGCCTCGGTTTGCCTATTCGTACGCTCATCGCATGTGGCGGAATGTTCCTTGACAGCCCTGGCCCTCACATTCGTTGCTATTCTGCTCTCCTCCTTCCATTTGCATTCCCACAG